CTCCTCAGCCCAGTCACCAAGCCTGGCCCTGGAGCACGAGGCCCCCAGCACAAGGGCTAACCGCAGCACTGCCTGAGTACAAACCGAGCCGCTACCTTCCCATTGCCCCTCACTCACGGCACCAGTGGGGAGGCCTGTCCCTGCTCCTTCCTTCCGCACCCACCACCCGGGGCGGGGGAGGAGAGGGAAATTCCTTACAGGCATTACAATGGGCACCAAATGCACGCGAGGATTGCTGTGAAACTCACGCTCCCCACCCAGAAAACGGCGAGTGAGGTTAGAGTCACTAAAGCGACTAGGCAGCGGAAGGACCCCCAGCTGCTTGTGACGCCACAGGGGAGCGACGGATTTGAAAAGGCGGAAGCTGTAAATAGCGATCGTCTTTTTTTTTTCTCCCGGCAGGTGAGTTCCCTTCTTTCAGGGAGGGCGATATCCCTCGGGGCGGCGGTGGGTCGCATTGCACTGCCCGACACGCCGCTGGGCGGGGTGAGAGTAGGGCAGGGGGTACTAGGCCACAGGCAGGCTATTGTAAGAGGTGGCGTGTTCTCCCTTAGAGCCTAGCAACGAGAGACCTGCGCCTGGCCTGCTCCTGATTCCAGCCAGCCCGCTTCGACCCTCCCTTGGGGTGTCTGGTCTGGGTCTCGTACAGAGATAGGCCCCTAGCTACACGCAGCAACTACGGGTCAATAGTACCAGCTTTCAGCCCAGCCCAGGATGTTTAAACCCAGGTTTTCCTTGACTTGGCTCGGTGGTTTCACCATATCTGTGTATAATAGTTACGGCCATAGTCTGTGGTTAAAAGCAAACGTGAGGGGAGCTAAGACTCGGGGATTCCCAGCTTTGTCACTGACTTGCCGGGTGATATTTGGCTTCCTGGTCTTTACAATGGCAGTTATGATGCCTATGTATCTCTCAGTAGTTTGTGACGCATAATAGATAGGTCTTTGGATTGAAGGCATTAGAGAAGGGTAAAGTACTGTTAACTGGGAAACCTGCCCTCAAAAGTGAAGGGCTATGTTATGAATTAAAACGGGGGGAGGGATAGCTCAGTGGTTTGAGCATTGGCCTGCTAAACCCAGGGTTGTGAGTTCAATTCTTGAGGGGGCCACTTAGGGATCTGGGGCAAAATCAGTACTTGGTCCTGCTAGTGAAGGCAGGGGGCTGGACTCGATGACCTTTCGGGGTCCCTTCCAGTTCTATGAGATAGGTATATCTCCATATATTAAAGGCTCCCTCCCTCCTATACACCGATAACATGTTAAACACTTATTCATTGTTTAAAACAAAAAAAAACAAAAAAGTGTCAGAGCATGTCATTTGTTTGTTCCTTAGTTTCATTTATCTCTAAATAAAAAAAACCACCTCTATCTTTATCATTGAAAAAGGGGTAATGACTGCAAGGGAGTCAAAATAATGCTGAAAAGTCTCAAGGGCTTCCTTATGCTTTTTTTTGGAGGGGTGGGGGTGCATGATGACCTTATGATATCTGGAAACATAAGTGCTATTGAAACTTGACCTGCATTTATCCCTATAACAGCCTTTTTTGAGAAGATGCCCAAAGTAAAGAGAAGCAGGAAAGCTCCTCCGGATGGCTGGGAACTGATCGAACCAACATTGGATGAGCTGGATCAAAAAATGAGAGAAGGTAAGTTATGAAGCCAGATGCTGGTTCGCATGTGACCCTATGATTGTACAGTCCTTAAGAGCTTCAGGATACATGTTTTATAAAAGGACAGCAAGTGTGGATTTTTAAATCTGTTTTCATTAGGGGCTAATAATGAAGATGAAACATTTTGATGATGATAATTTAGTGTGTTAATTTCCTGCATTAAAAGTTACCCCTAGAAGACAAATTCCTAATTCTAATTTAGGACACATGGGATTGGGACATGGCAGAATGAGTTACGTGGATCATTTCTGGATCTATGGCTTAATTTGCAAATGAAATGAATATTGTTCTGAGTCCATAGTACTCCACCCAAGCTCTAAGGACTACTGTAGGCCAGGATTGAAGCACGCTGGTATAACTATGTGCAGGGGGAAGCTTGCATTGCAAAGGCCAGCAGTGTTTGGTTCTAGTCTGTGCTGTCACTCTTGGTTTCATGGGTACTCAGATGTGCCTGTCCTATCCAATCATTATACCTGCATTTTCCTTACCATCATCCCTTTAGCGGGCTGACTTCCTTTCCAAAGGGAGTGCATGAGAGTTAAAGACCTCCTGTGTGTATTTTTACTCCAGTGAATTTTGTTTTTGACTATCTCCCCACACCCCTTTAAAACTACATTTTTTTTCTCTCGGAACAATTGTGCTTTTTTTAGGATATATAGTGCTGTAATAACTTATAGGCCACTGACAGTGAAATCTGATTTCTGTGCCCTCTTTCCTCAGCGGAGACTGAGCCTCATGAAGGGAAGAGGAAGGTGGAATCCCTCTGGCCCATCTTCAGAATTCATCATCAGAAAACGCGCTACATCTTTGATCTCTTCTATAAGAGAAAAGCTATTAGCAGAGGTAAAAAGCTTAAATATTTGCTCTTGTGGTGAAGAGATCACAGCTTCCATATGGAGTGTCTGAATCATTAGCCAGTGAGTGTAAACCAGAATTAGATTATTGATGGGAAAGGATTAAATAATTGTTCTTAAAAAAAAAAAAAAGTGACTTTCCCTCTGTCTGTATTTGCTAGCAAGTGGAACTAGCAATGAGAACTAGATTCAGTGTAAGGACTAAAACTTTTTAAATAAACTGTTCATTTATCTGCCTCCAATGAGAATTCTGTGGTGCTCACCAGTCACCTCTCTCGTGCAGAACTGTATGAGTACTGTATCAGAGAAGGATATGCTGACAAAAACCTGATTGCAAAGTGGAAAAAACAGGGTTATGAGAACCTTTGCTGCCTGCGCTGTATCCAGACTCGGGATACCAACTTCGGAACTAACTGCATTTGCAGGGTCCCAAAAAGCAAGCTGGAAGTGGTATGAATTTTTTATTTGCTCCGATGCTATTTTCCTTGCTTGGATTTTGAGCCAGCAGTTATGACTTACCATAATTGTATTTCCTCTGCTACCTTTGACAATAGTATCAATTTCTAGTTTTCCTTACCACTGGATTCTGCTGTTAAGTGGCCATCCTCTGTTTTTCCTGTTTCCTGAAGCATTTGCCCATGAAAATGACATTAAGGGGCTAATATAGAGTTGCCCCAGTTACCTTCACACTTAACCAACTAACATTCTGGTGCAGTGTTTAGGGTGCTAGAACAACACTTGAGACCAGAGCACTGACTTCCTATACATAGTGTCTTGAGCCTAATTACGTGTATTACTGTGGCATCTAAGAGCCCTAGTCCTAGACCAGGACCTGATTGTGCTAGGCACTGCACAAACACAGAACAAAGAATGGTCCTTGTCTCCTGCAAGTCAGGCTGAGGTATTTTTGAGAGGGATTTGACTGTGGCAAAGTAGAGTGAAAGGAATCTTAAATACCCAAAAGGAAATACAACTGTCTAGTTTCTGATGCGTTCCCTTTCTTCTTGATAACTCGAGCTTGTAACATAGCTATAGTGCAGACGTTCCCACTGCTTTAGATGAAAATTTGTAATAGTAGGGAGGAAAACTGATAGTCCTAGATGTTAATTGGTCCCATGACTGTCTCTTGAACGTTCTATTCATAGTTCCAGACTGCAGAGTCCCACTGATGCACTTCTTGGCCAAACCTAGTTCTGTAGGATTCCATAATCTTTCCTGGTGGAATATTCACTTCCATTTGGTTTTATAGTAATGCCTGATTCTTGCTTCACCCCCGGAGGGAAGGTGGGGCTTGCGTAGCCTCTGCATAATGTTGCGTAAAGTGGTGGTGGGAGACTGTTTGTAGAGTAGCAGGAAACTTAGAGCTATGGAAGCTTCAGAGGGCTTCCCCTGTTCGAGATGTAGCATACTGCACTAGCTTTTTATTAAGAATACTTGTTCTCGATATAAAGTAACTTATCTGGAATGTGGTGACTAATGCTTGTTTTTGCTTTATAGGGGAGAATCATTGAGTGCACGCACTGTGGATGCAGAGGCTGCTCTGGGTGAAATCTTTAAAAACTGGACACTTTGGGGGTTCTGAAAAGTGCTGATTTCACATCATGGACTATTCCTGCTATAACTGTCTTGTATAAACCCTGCAGTGAGTGAAGCTTCCTTTATCAGTCTGAACAGCAATGTGCCCACCTGGATCATAAAATGCAGTAGTGAATGATTTTGACTAGTCTTGTATAACCATTTTATTTTAAAATAAAATCTTACCTCCCCCCCATAGTGGAGTGGCATAATCTTGTGACAAGGCAGTTCAGAGATTGATTACACATATTCACAATGGCATATGGCTCCTGGCAGCAGAGCTGTATTGTCAGTAGTAGAGGCACCTGTGAATGGGGTCACTTGTTAAGGATTACACAACTCCATGCCATACCCAGGAAGCTGACTTTGTACAACTATCCCTTTGTCTTTAATAGTAGTGTCCTAATTACAAAGTGACTCCCTAAAGCAAGATAGTGAGGCAGGTATACAGAAACTAGTGTACAGGTTTTCTGTTACTTCAAATTTCAGTACTAGTGAGGGTAGCTGGCCTGGCTGTACCATTGGAAAGTCAAGCTTCCTCATTCTCCCTGGGTTACAGCTTTCTGTTAGGAGTGAGTTCCTGGGGTTTGGAATTCTTGTCTGTTACTAAATCTAGCAAGTCCCAGACTGCCAACTTTCAAGCCCTGAACACTTCTTGCGGTGGAGGGGAAGGTAGCTTTCAATAAACTGCTTAACATGAATTGCATTGTAAGTTTAGTGGGACAGCATGGAGATACAAACTGAGTACTTAATTTCATGGATAATCGCACCATTTGGCAAACATTAAGGAAAGTAACCTAGGGTCAAATGTGTATTGTCTCCTATTTGAGCCAAAAACTGGCCTTAGGTTGTCATTAATGTTACAAATGCTTAGCAGCTGTATTCTACAAGCAGCTGTATTCTATAAGCAGCTGTTAGTGTTAAGCATTTTAAGTTCTCCATCTATCATATACTCCATCTCCTCTGCCACATGTGATCACATTGTAGCCCTTCTAAAAACAGCAGGAAATGCAAATGCTTTCTTATTAATTTTCCACAGAAGCATCTAATAAGTGTTTTGACCTTTGAAAAAAAGATAATCCTCTTACTTGTTACTCATGTTTTAGGGGTGATGTTAGTTCCCTAAGAAGGTGCTAGTTTCCTCTCCTAGGGACCAGCAGACATTGGCTGCTGTTCAGGTCTAAAGGCCCTCTTCTTCGGTGATGCCTGGACCCAGAGAGGCAGATGGAATCAAAAACTGCCTTATGATCTACCTCTGAAGATGAATTAGAGAACCACTGAGTAGTTGTTTCTAACAACTCTGGCAATTCAAACCTCTTACAAAATCAAACACAAGCTTGCCACTTACTAACAAAGCATCTGTTAACAGTAGTGAGAAGCGACGCTGTGCTGATGACCACCCAGTCCTTTTTAGTTCTTATTTCTCCTTTCTGTTGAGATGGTACTTTATTAAACAGTCAGAACATACAAGTACAGTGCTGCCAGCTATAAGGCACCTGAAGGAAACAACCCTCCAAATTCCTCTGTCTAGGTAGTTCCAGCATCTGACGTCGTGCACATTCCACACATGGAGAATACTGACTTGCTCTCAATAGTTACTGTTCCCTGGTGCCCTGGGGCTGCGTGTCCTCTGCACTGCCCTTGGCTGCTGAATTCTTAGTTCTGTATTTTGCCCATGGGTGTGGAGTCTCCTCTGCTGCCATTGCTTTTAGCCAGCGGAAATAGTAGCCTCGGAACCCATCAATCTTCTCCAGATATGTGTTCTTTGACTTATACTGCAAGTGAAAACCCAATAGTAAGTGTTATTCTATGGAAGAGTAACTAGGCTGCTCTGATTCTGCAAATTGGAAGAAGACAATACTCCTACTAAGCCGATACAGAAAATATTTGGCAGCTGCACTGTACTCTTAACTGTCACCATTTCAGCTGATGCTTAAACAGGTGGTAGATGAGGAAGATACAATTTTATTGGGGCAGGGAGGAAAGGTAGAGATCTTAAAAATTACTTCACTCTCCTGCTAGGCATTATATAAACAGACAGTCCTTATCCAAAACAGCTTAGTCTCATCTGTGCTTTTCCACATTATAATGTTCACTTCAGCCATAATCAGTTACATTGGTCCTGGTCCTAATAAATGACTGTGGTACTTACCCTGTCAAACTGAGGTGGATGCTGAGCTGCAAACTCCAGCTGGCGTATGACAACTTCGTTTGGGGGGACCTGGTTCTTTCTCATGTCCCGTAGGATTTCTGTGAGGTAAGTATAGTCCAACTGCTTCACAGCTGCATTGATAAGGGTGCTGTAGATGTGGGTGTTAGGAGTAATCCCAGAGTTCTGAAAACACATCAGTGTCCGAATTATTAGTGCCTGCTATCTACTACAGAGCTGATCTCTGCAGACCTTTCTGCCGGAGAGATATGAGCACATCCTAACTGAGGATCTTTGACCAATGTTATTATTTGACCTCAGTGCTGGCAAGTCACATCACCACTTAAGCTAAGAGTGCAAGAGCTGAAGCATAGATACTTTTGCCTACCAACACGCACTTTGGGAGACGTGTGTGTCACAACTCCACTGCAGATAAGGGGGAAGGGCCCGTTGCCTAGGGAGTGCAGCTGCCTTTCCTGTTATGGTTTTGGTTACCTGTACAGTACTAGTGAAGTTTACAATCCAATCCTCCTTCCCATGACCCAGGCATTAAGCTAGACTACTGTACCACAAAGGAGGAGTTGCAGAAGATCTGACTCGAGGGAGTTCCGTTACTTTAGCCTCAGTGAAAGCTCATGTAGAGAAAGGTATAGGATCACTGACTGTAGGAATCCCCCAGTTACTGCTGTCCCAATAATAAAGTAATAATACTTTCCAGTAGCCAGAGCTGTAGTTTTTGTACCTTCATGTCCAAAAGTAACTGCAGTCCATCTTTCTCTCTGCGGCAGGCTATTGCCAAGTTACAAAACGTCTGTATGTTGGGTGATATTCCCCTCTGCACTAGAGCAGTCAGCATGCCCTGCAAAACACAAATACTTGAGTACTCAGACCATTCTAGATGATTTAAGATGCAGCACTGACTGTTTCCAAAAGAAGTTCCAGCTAGTTCTCTTTAGACAGAAGGCTGCTATCTGAGAATGCAACAGAATCCTCAGAGCTCCAATAAGTACACCAGTATGACGATAAAAGTTTGCAGTATAGTCATCATTTAGGGGCTCTTATTCTTACCTTTGCACCTTCTAGGTCTCCCAGTTTACTCTTCTTTCTCAACAAAGTATTAAACAAGGTCACATCTACTTTCACTTTATGTTCATCCAGGACTGTCAATAAAGAGGATTCTGACTGGCTCAAAGGTTCAATCAGCTCAGCCAACAGTGTGAAAGTCTTAATGTTGGGTGCCACATTGTCCTCTTTCATTTTATTCAAAAACCCCTCCATGTTCCCCATCAAAGCCAGCCTATCGGAGGGCGTTGCTACTGTCCCTAAGGAAACCAAGTTCTTACTGGAGATTTTCAAGTCCAACAAATTGGGCAGGTTGCAAGCAGGCTCAAAAAATTGACCTCGGTTTGTTTGAGGTGGATCTGAAATAGCCTGGTTTCTTCTGAAGTCTCCAATCCTACTGCATTCTACTGTCTTATTAGTGAGACCAGCCAATCCAGTTCCTGGTTCAGTCTGAACCTCACTCACGTCTTTGTCTTCATTGTTGATTAAGTGTTCCTCAGCTTTTCTGGAATTTTCTTGAAATATTTGTTTTTCCATGGTTTCCACATCCAACTGGGTAGAAATTCCACTGTCTGCTCCCTTCCTTTTCTGACTTTTCACCTTTTGACCCCGCCTACCTGATACGAGCTTTACTTGAGCAGGGTTTTCATCTGTGCTTCTTAGCAACAAGTCAGAAGCCACAACTGGGTCACCTATTCCACAATCCCTTGCAGCATGGAGCATCAAATTGTAAGTGTAACCATCAGGTTTAATTCCCAATTTAGTCATTTGTCGCCAAACCTGTTTTGAAAGGGAAAAAAATGTAGAGAAGCTTAGATCGAGTTAATGTATGTGAAATGTGTACAGCATTAAAGAAGTGGGGTATTTTTAGCTAGAAGTAATCTGTCATATTTAGACCCAATTATTGTAACATTTTAGGTGCCCACCATCAGGGTTTCTAGCTGCACAAATGGGAATGAATACACTTCTTCAACAGAAAAGACCTCCACACCACAGACCGGACACCCATCCAAACTATTATTAGTACAATCCTGTAGTGCACATGGCACTTTATGGGCATCAGATAAGAAGCCTGACTGAGGAGCTTACAGTTTAAGCACCTTCCACCTCCATCAGCTCCAAAGGCCCCTCCCGCAGGTTCCAATCCCAAGTTACAGATACAACAGTTAAATGAATGGCAAAACAGGATAGAACTAGACCTGCAAGGCATATCTGAGGCCACTCTCCTTGTCCTTTATGCAGCCCATGAGAAGGAAATTGAAGGTCTCTGTGGTGACAGCATGGCCTTTATGCACAATTTCCTAGAGAAGGAAAAGGAAGATTACAGTTACACCAAGGGAGTTTATTCTGCAGCTGATTGCTTAATGGAAAGTACTGCCTTTCTTGCTGCTCAATGGAATCACTTTTTTGAGACACATCTGCAGCAAACTGCATGGGAGGTCTAAGGACTCCAAGTACTTTAAGCAGAATGATGGCTACAGAAAAGAGAAAAACAACATCTGACAGCTACTTCAATCTCAGCCTGTCTCAGCTGAAGGTGCTATAGGGAATAGTGTAGGAAATTTGGGTGGGATATAGGAAGGAACTGCTCAGCTGCTCCACTGTCAGCCTTTCAAGGGGGAGCTGCAGTAGAGGCAAAAGCAACCGCTTTAGATGAATACACGTTTGTAAAAAAGGGACCATAAACCTGACCTTTACACAACACTTAATACTTGAGAGCAGAATTTCAAAACCTCTAAGTCTGAGCCTGCAAAATCCTGTTTTTGTCTGTTTAAACTGAATACTTAAGATATCGAACTACCCAGTATGATTGCATAACTCAACGCAAGCACAAAAGAGTGATCCTTTAAAAAAAAAAAAAAATCAATCTATTCCCCCAAGCTTAAAGGCTAATATAACAATGCATAATTACAACCTGTCTGCAAGGAAAGCCACATGCTTCCCTAAAGTGCTTTGATTAGAGATGGAGATATGTATAGTACAAGAAGATACTCCTCTTTACCTTCAGTACGTCAAAGCATGTCCTGAGATCTGAGCAGATGGCACATACTTTCAGCAGAGCGTGATATGTTATCAGATTCAGCTCCAGATTTTTGCTCTTTAGTTCTTGCCGTAGTTTGAGCGCACTCTGCAGACCCGAATCTTTCCATGGCGACTCAGCACAGGCATTGAAGAGAGCTGTGTATGTAGCGTCTGTGGGGATTAAACCCCGCTTTTTCATCTACTCTCGGGGGGGGGGAAGTTAAGGAAATAATTATATTAAATAAAGAGCCCAGAATTAAGATAAAAAATAGTTCCACCTTATACAGATACCCTGGCGATAGGCACATTAGGAAAACCTAAAATAAATTAGATACAACATCTAAGCTTCAAGGCTACAGTAAATTCTTGAGCTCCAGTCTTCTGAGTCCCCAAGCACAGTGGAAACACCCATGGAAAGGCATTTTGGAGGAAGCATGTCCAGAATGAGCTCTTTCTATGGGATAGAATGCGAATGGGTATACTTTATCTCATGAAAGACCCCCATTGTACTACCTGCCAGTGACCCTGGCCCCTTTCTTAGGGAAACAGCTATAATATTTACATCATTGTAAAGTCTGAATGCCTTCTTCACATAGCCGACTCTGCCACAGCCACCAATCAGAACAGTGTAGTTGCTCTCCTCTGGCTGCAGACGCTCTTCCTTCAGCATCTGCACCTCAAACAGCTTCAGAGCCTCTGCCAGCTACAGACAGGGGAGACAAAGATGAGAAGGTAAGAGAAGCAGTTCCTTAACTAACATTTAATAAAGCAGATACATATACAAATATGGAGACACACTATGATGAGACAAGGGGTGCATGTTTATATTTCACCTTGGGATGGAAACCACTACCCCTCCATTCCTTATGAAGCCACAGAAATGTAATCATAATTCCTTTTCCCAAAGGGGTGACTAGTGAGAGGCCCTCTCCTTCCCACTCAGAGGTTAAGAGCAATTATCACTCTTTAATGAATTAATGCTCTCCAACACCCCTGTGAATTAGATAGATAGATATTACTCCTGGGGAAACTGAGGCTTATAAGGAGGTAACCAAACTGTCCTGGACTTTAATTCTACTTCTGAATTTTTGTCTCCCAGTCCCACAACCAATCTAATAGATCATACTGCCCCTCAATTATCAAATGCCGTTAACTACTCTAGTGATTACAAGACCTGAGAAACCAACCTTGTCTTCCTTTATCAGTGCCTTGCATTGCAAAAAGTACCAGTATGGTGTGTTCTTAGGACCACGTCTAGGTTTCCGTTCTGACACTTTTTCCTCCTCTTCCGCTTGAAATCTTAAGTTCTGCAACTCTGATGTTGTTTTGCGAAAATATTTTCTAGATGAAAATTTATTAGATAGTGTTCCAAAGCCTACATCTGCATCACCGTCTTCCGATTCTTCTTCATGTTTCCTGATAGCTTCAGGGGAGCTGGCAGGGTCAATCTGTTTCAAGTCTCGGTTGTGTAACTTACAGAGACCCTGTGATGAGCTGAAAGGCCTCAGCCTCATGCACGGCAGTCTCTGGCCCAGGAATCTGAACAGACTCGGTATATTTTTGGGACACCCTGAAAAGCTCTTTGGAGTTGCCCAAAACATTCGAGTGTGACACACCAAGGGATAGTAGCATTTCAGGGAGAACAATCCTCCAGGGAGCTGGCGGGACACCAACTGCGTGAACCTCATGATGCACTTCTTGTGTGTCTCCCCTTCACTACGAGGTTAAACGTCCATCTCCTAAAGTCAACAAGAAAAGAGAGCCGATGAGAGGAGCCTGAATGGGGTCAGCGAGGGGAGCCCTCAGAGAGAGAGCGGGAGACACACCAGGAACAGGCACTAGCAAGGCAAGGGCTGAAGGGCTTTTCCCCTGAGGGTGGAGAAAGTCCAGGACCCTGCACATGCTGTCAGGGCTAGTCCCAGCCCCTGGCTCCTCCCTGAGTACAGAGATGGGGGGGGGAGGGGGTGTCCATGCACCTTATGATCTGCTCTCCCCCGCCCTCCAGCCCCGGCCGGCTGGGGCCAGGCCCCACGAGGAGCCCCTGCCCCCGGGGGGGCTCTACCGGGAACCAGGGGGGGCTGCTGCTGGTAGTGGGGAAGAGGGTTTCCGGGGGGGGGGAAGCATGGTCCTTCCCGCCCCTCAGCCCCAGAGCGCGCGACACAACCCCCTTCAACTCACCCGCAGCCCTCGCCTCAGCTCGCGCTCAGGGGCGGGGTCATGGCAGGCTCCCCTTCCCATTGGCGGAGGCGGCCCCGCGCGGTGCATGCTGGGAGCTGGGGGGTCAGAGGTGGCGGCGGGTGAGGGTTGAGATCCCAGCATCCCGCGGGCGGGCGGTCCGGAGCGGCTGAGCCGGTGGCCCCGCCGGCCCCCAACTCCGCGAGTCCCCGGCCCAGGCCCCCTCCCCGCTGCCATCATGCAGGAGCTCATCGCCAGCGTGGACCACATCAAGTTCGACCTGGAGATCGCGGTGGAGCAGCAGCTGGGGGCGCAGCCCCTGCCCTTCCCCGGCATGGACAGTGCGTGAGGGGCCGGGAAGTCCGCTCCCCATCGCCACCCCCGGGGGGACACCCCCCTCTCCTGGGGAGACCCCCCCCATGGTCCCGGGGGGACACCCCCCTCTCCTGCGGAGACCCCCCCCATCGCCCCGGGGGGGACCCCCCCCTCTTCTGTGGAGACCTCCCCCCTCACAGCCCCCGGGGGGAGCCCCCCTCCCCTGCGGAGACCCCCGCATGGTCCCGGGAGGAACACCCCCCCTCCTGGGGACACCTGCCCTCGCGGGCCCCGGGGGGAAACCCCCTCATAGTCCCGGGGGAAACACCCCCCTCATGGTCCCGAGGGGGGAACGCCCCCCCCATGGGGAAAACCTCCTCCTTCCTTTTCTCACCCCACCCTTGTGTGAGAGACTCCTCCATATCTTTCTTCCTAGGGGAAAGCTCCCCTCAAGGCCATGAGGAGATGCTTCCTTCATCCCTTTAACCTCCCCCACCCCCCCCCAACCCCAGCATTGGGCAGATGGCCCCACAGGTTCTCATTCATGGCCTAATGGAATGTGTTTTGTATTTTGGTGTCTGATCTGCATGATTATTGCTTGAAAACAGACTTTATCGCATTAATTAAGGGACACTAGGGACCAGATTACTGTGAGGTAGGTCAGCATCAGTATCCCCACCCTATTGATGGGGAAAACGATTGGACAGAGAGGTGAAGTGACTTGTCCCTGGTCACACCAGGTCTGTGGCTGAGCCTCAAAACCTTGTGTTCTGATGATTGATGCCAGTAGTGGGAGGATAGGCACCGGTTAACAATATGTGCTGGCTAGCCTAGTGTCCCTGTGTTTGACTCTGCTTGCACACCGCAGATGCTCTAAGTCAGGGTCATCGTGCATAACAAGGGGCAGTGTGCTGCTGACCACACTGTACTTGTTCGGTGGATAAATACTGTATGAGATTTCAGTCTCCAGGACTGGACAGGTTCTTTCACCAATGTGAAACTGACTTAAAAGTAACAAAAGATACTCTGAAGAGCCAAATGGCTGAGACCAGCACAAGAAAGTTCATATATTCCATTAACATGTAGTTTGCCAGGGGGATTTTTAATACTGCTCAACTGCTTTTGATGCCCAGAACTAGCTCATCTCTAGATGGAAGGAAACACTTTTAACATGGCTGCAGAGTTTCAGAAACCTTCACCGTGAGTTTTTTTTCTCCACAGAATCGGGTGCTGCTGTCTGTGAATTTTTTTTAAGAGCTGCCTGTGGAAAAGGCAAGTGACATCCCTAATACTATATTCTGATAGAAACAAAAATAGGAGAAATAGGGGTGTTGGCAGTTCATTAATTATATTATCTTAATTTATAATACCCTAGTTATATTGCAGGGGTTGGGGAGAGAGACAGTGAGATGGAGATCAAGAGGGACTATGTTTCACACACTAGAGCTCTCCAAAGCGAAGATGCATTGGTGGGATCCCTATAAGGTGGATGATGCATGAACTAAGAAATTCAGGAGGGTGAGGCTTGAATTGATTACATACAAACCCTTTTGAGGGGTTTGGGCAATGGTAGTGGTAGGCATTGAGTACTAGGGTACGTCTTCGCTACCCGCCGGATCGGCGGGTAGCAATCGATCTATCGGGGATCGATTTATCGTGTCTCGTCTAGACGCGATAAATCGATCCCCAAACGCGCTCCCCGTCGACTCCGGAACTTCACCAGGGCGAGAGGCGGAAGCAGAGTCGACGGGGGAGCCACGGCCATCGATCCCGCGCCGTGAGGACGGGAGGTAAGTCGATCTAAGGTACGTCAACTTCAGCTACGCTATTCTCGTAGATAAAGTTGTGTATCTTAGATCGACCCCCCCCCGCCAGTGTAGACCAGCCCATAGACTGCCATGCAGAGGATCTGGCTGTTGAACTCCTAGCCATCTATGTGGATAAACAGAAGACCTCCCTTTTCTAGGGCTGTCAGTTCAGGACCTTTCATCAGCACTAAATGGTAAATTCATATGCAAATGTAAAGACTTCTGAAACTCCTCCTCTTCCAGGATTCAAACAAAGGACCACCATTGCCCTGTAGGCCTGCACGAAGCTTCTTGCACTAAAAGTTCCAAATGTTCATTCTTACTTCTCCCCTCTCCACCCATAGGAGGCATGTGTCCTTTCCGACACATCAGTGGAGAAAAGACAGTTGTTTGTAAACACTGGCTCCGAGGGCTGTGCAAGAAGGGAGACCAGTGTGAGTTCCTTCATGAGTATGACATGACCAAGATGCCCGAGTGTTATTTCTACTCCAAATTTGGTAAGGGGCGTTGTGGCTTCTCATTGACTTCACTTGCTAGTGTGGGAATATGACTGGCAAAGAGGACCCTGGTATATACCTGTCATCTCTGCTTCATCTGCTCTCTCTACCCTTCTATGTCTGCTACTGATGCTTGTTAGATTGTAATTAGATTGTAAACAGATCTGAGCTCTGATCAGATCTGTTTAGTTCCACATTGTATTTTACCCCCTTAACTCTTCGCACATTTAAAGTTTTGTCTGTCATAGCTTGTCCCTAACTTGAACTCTTTGACCCATGACTTTAATGGGTTTTGTACCTGTTATGCTGATTTGGATCAGAGTTGATTTGGATGAATAGGTGGTCTCTACATGAATTAATTTTTCAGCAGATGATGAGTGACAGGAGGCTCAAGGATCCAAAAATTGAATGCCTCAGTCTTTCAGCTCTGGAGACCTGGGCTAAATTAAATTAACATATTGAGGCAACTTGTTAGAAAATTATAGTCCTGTAGGTTTCCTTGGATCAAGGTTAGCATGTAATTTGTAGTTTCGCCACACTTTTGCTGCATTAAATGTTTAGTTTTGCTGTAATTGCTTCCCTTTCCAGTGTACTTTATTTTTAAATGCGCATCTAAATAACCCAATCTAGCAAAATCTTACTCACCTGCAGTGAGTATTTGTTGTTGTTGGTAAAGGGCAGGCAAATATATTTTGTGCCTGGATTTAGAAATATTCATGACAGTTTTGCTGGGACTAGATGACCTAGGTATTGTTTTGGGAGGGGATTTTACCTCACGCATGCTCTGTTTCCTAAAGTGTGTGTTTGGCTTTGGTACAGGAGAGTGCAGTAACAAAGAATGTCCATTCTTGCACATTGACCCGGAGTCTAAGATCAAAGACTGCCCCTGGTATGACAGAGGCTTCTGTAAACACGGTATGTATGGTGCATAGGTGCTGCTTTTGTAACTATAAAAATGAGGCTAATGTAATCCACCTCCCATATGTGCCACTGGTAGGTGCTGGGGTATGTGTGTAATATATGTGATCTATGAAGTTTTATGTTGTAGGTCCCCTCTGCAGACACAGACACACTCGAAGAGTCATTTGTGTGAATTACCTGGTGGGATTCTGTCCGGAGGGGCCCGCTTGTAAATTCATGCAGTGAGTATGTTCTAGGGTCTTTTCTGTCATCTGTAGTTTCCTCTCTGATCAGTTACCCATCAGGTCTATCTTACCTATATTGCACCCATCAGTGTAGAACATTTGCAGCACTGATGCAATAACTGTACTGTACCACACATCTGAAGTTTTGTTCATATTTGAGTTTACCTCTTAAAAGTGAAAAGAATTTGTAGTCAGGATGATCAAAAGAGATTGGGCAGATCACACCAATGTTCCCCAAGAAGACATTGAAAATGTCAGTCAGTGCTTACATGGTCAATACAACTTGTACAAAGCAATTTAATTAATTACAGTTGATCTGATCCTCTTAACTCTAGACACATTATTCCAACAGTTACGCTTTCAGCTACACAACTGTTTTATTTCATAGTATATATTTTTTTAATCCTTGCATATGAGTAGTTCATTCAGTGGCCAAAATTGGTATGGACATTTACTATATTGCATTGCATTTTCCAAATATCAGATTAAGGAGGCAAGTGGCTGTTTAGATATTTACACACACAACTCTGGGACATCAAACAAAGGTTGTGAGGACAACTGCAGATTCGATGAGTATATATCCCAGAATGCTTCACAGCTGCATACAGAAATACTCTTTACTGTCTCAGTACCTCCCCAACCACTTTAGTTTATAAAGGCTAAGCAGCAGAACGCAGGAGAGAAGGTCCACTTGTTGTGAAGCACAGTTTAAATAACTAAAGGTTTGCTTTGCTCTCTGGACCGTTATTTGTCTCTTAAGGAATTAGTTCAGTGCTGTGCTGGTTGTATATGCCAATTTCTGGTTTGAGTTTCAATTCTCTATATGTGTCTTTTCTCTTTGTGTGTTTATAAACCAGTCCTCGATTTGAACTGCCTATGGGAACCACAGAGCAACCACCACTGCCTCAGCCGACACAACCACAGCAAAAGGTACACGACTTCCCTGCCTCTCCCAGAGACAACACATTCAAAGCACAGCTCATTTAGATAAACAAATTTGACTCTCTTTTTAAAGAGGGCACGTGGTTAGAACAGGAACAAGCCATCAGGACTCTTATCCTACTCGTGTCTTGGGAAAACATCTGTAAAATGGGGAAAATCCTTTCCTATTTCAGAGGCATATTGAAACTTGACCAAAAGTTTTTAAAGAACTTTGCGATCATTGGAGGAAATGCACCATAAAAATGCGAAGTATTATCCTTTTCCTCTCTCCTCTTACTTCTGGCATTGATCACAGTTGCTGCCTCCTTCATTCTGGGGTTGTTTTTTTTCTTCTAACTGAACCCCTGATTTCCCTCTTCCACAGTCACCATTCTGCTGCTGCCACCTTCCTTCAGCTGAGAGGGCAAATGCATGGCCAGTAGTGACAGTTCTGTTCCGTGGACTGTCTGGAAGGTGGGCACTGTGTAAGCATTAAGCAGTGCACCTGAGCTCTGCTACACTGACAAGCACAAGTCCTAAGATCACTCGTATATTGCAGTGTAAGCCCTTGGTCACAGAGCACCACCATGTTACATAGTATATCATATACATCTGTGTTTTCTTTATTCCAAGCAACCATCTGCCAGATTTAAAAAAATAAATCTGCTTGACACCTGTCATGGAGCTCTAATGGACATATCTGGCAGCCTAGCCCAGCTCTGTAGATCTGTTTTGTGAGGGAAGTCTTGGTTGCTAGGTCAAGCCCTGTATGCCCTATTGTTTCTGAACTTTCATCTCTGGTGTTTGGGCTGGCAGATAAATTTTCCTATGAATTTATTTAGAAGGTTATCATTCAATGTGTGGGATGTTCTCTTCCCTCCCAGCAAAATAACAATCCGCCATTACAAAGGTCATCATCCTTGATCCAGTTAACGAGTCAGAACTCTTCTCCCAACCAGCAGAGGACCCCACAAGTCATCGGAGTTATGCAGTCTCAAAGCAACAACGTGGGGAACAGAGGTCCTCGGCCGCTGGAGCAGGTCACCTGTTACAAGGTAACTCTCAGAGGGTGTTTGCATTTGAAAAATGCAAGGTAAAAGTCACCTAAACTGACTAGTGCATCCTTTGTGCTGCTAGTCACCTGTCACATTGCTTTTCAACTTGGTGCAGATTGCAGTAAAGGGAACAGGTGGCTGAGTTGCTGGGGCAGCAGGGCCTGTGAAGAAGCATTGACATTGTAAAGAAAAGTATTGAAATGTATGCACTGGTTATTAGACATGTATTTTGGATAGTGGGTGCAGCTTGGGATCAGGAAGTTAGTATTAAGCTATGGAGCCTGTGGGTTACCAGTTACCTAGTCTGTGGGTTGGCAATGACTGTCAGATGGCTCCTCGGTAGCCTGTATGAAATGGTTCAATGCACTTGATCCACTTGCTAATCACAGAAAACCCCCACTAGTGGCAGTTAAAAGGACATTGTCAACGCGAAATTGAGCCAATTTCAAAAACCGTCTTAGAAGTAGTTTCAGATGCTACCCCTGCCCCTGAATGTTCCTCCTTGCATTTTCCTATTTTTAAAAAGGCTTCTCCCCTGTTGCTGTGTGAAAAACTCACCCAAACAACAGGGGAAAGTGACTATACACAGTCAAACCCAGAAAGGCCGAAGATGGTTCTGCCACAGCACACGTAGTTCCTGCCAAACCGAGGAACAAGACATCAAACCCAAATTTCTCAGTTAGTGGTGCAGGCAGCTCCTCAATTAAACTGAAACCTCAATTTCCATTAACATTTTGCAGAAACATCCCCAAATGCTACTGTAGGTAGCAAAGGATCTTCTTAGCCACTCTTTTCAGTAAGTCGGACCAAGATGAGCACTAGCATTAATAATGAACCTAAACATTTCTTTATTCAAAATGAAGTCTCTTAATAATCCAAACATACAACTAAGACTGTTTTTTGGACTCATTCCATCATTATCTTCTATAACTAGACATTTATTCTGGCTACATGATTATAACAGCAAACATCCAAATCAGTTTCACTGAGAACCTCTAAGGCTCCAATTTAATACAAGGTTTGGGTTTCAGTGAAGGCAAAGGGCCTAAACCTACCCACTAAAGTTATCCTTGTGAGTCTTGCCATTAACTTCCTTTGTAGCGGAAACTCTAATTGGGGCTAGTTGTATGTCATGGGGGAGGAATGGGCAGGGGAGAAGTCATAGGCTTCCAATGCTCTTTTATGACTAATCTATGCAACGCTGTTGCCTTTGTCAAAGGTAAAGCAGGAAAGCAGCACAAAAGAGGATATGGGGGCAGCAGCAGTTCTCTTCTCCCTCCCTCCCTCCCCGTTCTCTCTCTCACCACAGGGCTTCCCCACCAGGCACTGAGATCGTATGTTTAACGGGTTCTAACATTTCAGTCAGCTTTTTATTGGAAAATAAAAGATATTTTGATTTCAATTAGTTACCCCATGACTCTTGTCATGCATTTGTTTGGTTTTATTATCAATGCATGACTTTCCATTTTTCTGCAGCTGAAGCTTTGAAAAGTCACTACCCTACCCAAGCCTAAGCAGTTTCTCTGCATAGTCATCAATAAAAGAGTGCTATCAGGCTGGGATTTAAGGACGTAATTCAAATAAATTGCACATCTGGAGAAAGTAGGAGGGTCAGACTACGATATGTCATGGCTTCACAGCTTAGAAGGCTGTTTCAGGGAATAGGAAGCATCTTTTGTTCAGATTGAGTTTTACCCTTGTAGTCCAGGGTGGCTGACAAGGAGAGACTCATCTGAACGTTTATGTTCATCATACACATTGGTCAGAGCAGAGTCCTTGAGACTTCAGGTGCTGAAATATAGCAGGTAAAAAGCCCCCTTCTCTACAGCGGAGTAATGCAGTTAAATCTCCTCAGGGCTTTGAGTATCTCTATTGCAGCCCTTTCCCATTGGTAGTGCCAAGAACCCCAGTGTTCAGATGGAACCCGGGTCTTCAGGTTATAGTGGCAGGCAAGTTCTGGTCCTAACAGTCAAGTGGCCCCAAAAGGGTCTGTGGCAAGAATCTCATTTATGGTATAGCACAGAATGCATTAACTTGCTGAATATTGTCTCTTGTGTACAAATGGCATTGCTTCCAAACTAGGACTACTTGCCAGTTGATTTGTTAAAGGCAGTGTTGGGAAAAGCCACAATAACTTCTCACTTTTTTCCTTCCTAGTGTGGTGAAAAAGGACATTACGCCAACAGATGCACCAAAGGACATCTGGCCTTTCTAAGCGGACAGTGAGACAGCATCGAGGGAGGAGAGTGCAAGGAGGTTCTTTACACTGGGGAAAGGTTTCCGCCTAGCACTATTTCTTGAACTATTGATCAGGTGTTTTTTTTTTTTAACGCCATTAGTGAAAGAACTGTGGCCAGAGGCTGGCTGCTGATAAACATTTTTGTAACTGTCCAATTTTTTATGTTTTAACCTTTTAAAATAGATCTTGGCCTCTGCCTTCTTTCACTGAGCCTAGCTGGGAGGTAGATCTAAAGGCAAATAGATGTGCCAATCCTCACCAACGCAACATTCAGCATAATACACATCTTGCTCCAGTGTGTTTCTGTAAAGGATAGCCTTTGGGAACCTCCAACCTTTCAGCAAACCTTGTTCAAGGAGGAAGACAGACTGGAAGAACTAGTGCTTGAAATGCCTCCCACTTCAGTGAGGGAGCTTGTCATGCAGCTCTTGAAAGGAGGCCCCATGTTCCCTTATTCAATCTGAGGTTTCTTAACCTGCTCTGATGGCTCACATAACATGTGCTGTACCAAGATGTAAAGTATTTGTCCAACTGCAATAAAAGTTTGTATGCTTTGGCCGGAAGCATTTTCCCCCTTGCTGTTCTGCGGGGTGAGATGTTGGTCCTTGTATGTGAAAACCACTTGTAGGGGAATGAACGTACATTTATGGTTTTAGCTGAAATCACAAAAGCATTGGCTGTAGAAGAGGCGCAGGTCTGTTCTCACCATGGCAACCCTGAACTCAGACCTGAAGTAGCTTTGAAGGTGTAAACAGTATATGGATACCAACAGATGAAGTTAGTTGGCATTCCCACAAGCAGTCAATTGCACAAGTATCTTCACAGGCTCTCGAAACAAATAAATGGAACTATATATTCTTGAGATTGCTTTTAAATTGGACTCTGAGTGTTAGAGTATCCTCATAGGAGCATGTTTTTCCAAGCCAAAACCCCTTAATTTTGTAAGACTTTGGCCCTTTGAAATAATGACAAAGGGAATTAAAAAAAAAAAAAAAGCCCAACTGTTGCATCTGGAATATGTGAGCCTTTTCTAGTCTCGAGCATCTATCTACATTTGCTTATTTGCGGTTGCGTTTTTTCCTTCCTGTTTTAAAGTTGTCTGTGAAACTTAGGTTGTGATTTTTCAGGAAAAGGGTAATGTATGCCTGGGAAGCGATAGGACCCTGTGTTGGTTTAAATGATTACACAGGACTGTTGATTTTAAAAAAAATTGTAGAAGAAGCTGTACTTACTGATACTCCTTTTAGTAAGTACACAGTGGGATATTCAGGCTTAAAAGTTAAAATTAAATCCACAGGTGTAAGTTGGCTGACTAGCATTGCTCATTCTGCATTTTTCAGAACACACACACATCAAGACTTCTGTCCCTGAAGTCTATAAACAGGTTCCAAACTTGTGTTTGTGCTTCCATCTAAGCAAGTACCCCAGTCTACTCTTAGTGAACCAAAGCATATCTGCTTGAGAGAATGGTCAGCTGGTGGAAGTTTTTTCAAGCCAGACAATAATTTCATCTTTATAATACTGCTGAACACAGAAGTGCCCCCTGCCATCCTCCAGCAAGACCTTTATTCTAACCAGGTTCTTAACAGCTGTTATCAAACACTCTTATCACTGTTAGCTTTAGACAAACAGCCTCTTGTAATTCATCCATAAAGAACTGGCCCCTGCATCCTTCTGAACAGTAGCATCATTACTTACGGATGTGTTTTGTTAATGTAGGTGGTCCCGAGTATATCGAAGCTGTGCTTCTTTAAGTGACAACCATGTACTCTCCATTGCTTATTTAGACTTTCACCATCATGGTTGGAAGTGTCAGCTGGCAAACATGGCTTTGCTGCTGTAGAAGTTTCATTTCATCCCTCCCCACTTTATTTAAAAAAAACCCAATAGCTTTAGCATAGTTGCTTTTCCCTGGCATTTAGAATAATCTGTCACATTCCATTTTAAATATAGGCTACTCATTTGCTTTCATTCTGCCTTTACCATCACTTGGGCAAAGGTAGTTCTACACAAAAATCTATGGAAGCCTTTTAGGCAGGAGCTGCTTGGCAACATACTATTGAAGACAACCACTATCTGAGATCTTACTTAGTAAAACAGTACAGATTAAAAGTGGTGGAAGTGGCCTCTAGCAGAGAAATTTTGTTTTGTATGAGGCAACTATTATTATGAGTTTTAGATATCTGTGGCTACTATGAAGTGCCTGTTGGCATCGTAAACAATTGAATTCTCCTTTGCAACAGTAAGAATCCTGTTAAAACAAGTTCTGACCAGTAATATCTGCACCAATTTGGTTGAAGTGAAGGGATCATTAAAGTAGAGGTACCCTATACAGTGGTAATACTTCTCAGTAAAATAGTTAAAGATTAATCAGTCTTATCCTTAGTCATTTGCACTGCACATTAGACCAATTTATTATTAAATGGCAAAAGGCTTTCTAACCATCTTCATTGTACCTACCATATAGGGGGGAAAAAAGGCGAGAAGACGCACACAATTTTCAGCACCAGAAAGTGAAAGTTTCACAATAATAAGAATATTAGCTACATAAGCCAACCAACCTTGAATGTACATATTTTATTGGTCATAGAATCTGCCTGGAATTATAACAGTACAGAATTCAGTGTGACTGGCTTATATGCCTTCATCGGGGAAAGTTGTTCCAGCAGCTGAATCCAGGTCCAGGGCTGCAACTTGCATTGCTGCAGTAAGTTAATGTTTCAATGATACTTCCTCCAACGCTCATGCTCTGCATCATTTAAATTAAAACAAGTCAGTTTGCTGAAGTCATAAAGACCATTTTTAGCACTTAGGTATTTAAAGTACAGTCTAAGATTGCACTACACAGTAGGCAGTTCTTGACTACTGTTGGACAATAAAAGCAGCGAGATAATCTTTGTTCACCACTAGCACAAGTACTATTTTGTAAATTATTTAATTCCTAAATATTACCAAACAGCTAATTCGTTTTCACAACTTCTGACAGGTAAGTATTATACCCATTTTCTACATAGGTTAAAATTATTAAGTGAAGGTCACAAAACTGCAGAGGCAGGATTAGAATTTAGCTCCCTACTCCTAGTCCCATGCTCAGTCTGTTAGTATGTGTCTTGTCAGCATTTCTCTGATATATAAATAAGAAAGTTAAGCACTCTCTCTCACTTTGCTTCCTCTTCCAGGAACAGTTTTTGAAATACACCCCCCCCCCCATAGTTCTACAGACTACACTAGTGTGCCCAACCATACAAAGTAAGGTTTTACTTACTCAAATGCTCATAGTTCCAAATGTAGCTGACAACTACATAACCAAAAAGCACCATTGCGATACCACCGATGCCCCCTTTCTTCACATCGATGTACTTATTTAAGTATCCGACATAACCTAAATAGGGGAGAGAGTTATTTTCTTAGGTTCAGTGTCAATTATACCCTGTATACAGTTATACTTACAACTCAAAAGTCATTTTGTACAGCTACTTACTGTACCCCTTTCAACAGAAATTCAGATGAGAAAAAACAAGAAAATATCTAGAAAATAGCATCTATGATCTCCAAACATACTAATGCAGTGGTTCTCAACCTATTTATCATTGTGGGCCGCATCCAATATTACCTGTATGGCTCTGGGGATGTCACATGGGCCATAGCTGTGCACTGACTGGGCTACAGGTTGAGAACCACTGTACTAATGAAACAAGTCTACCAGAAGACAACTCATGTTAAGAAAAATAGGATAGTATTCGCTTTAGACTCATGTATGGAACGGAATAAGAGTGACTCAGTATCTTGTTTCAAGCCAGATACTACTGAGACTTTCATGAGAGCAAAGTTGTTTCTCCAGTTATCCAATTTTTAAAAGAACTATATGCTTTCTACCCAACTACGACTAGTCAAGAATACTTGAGCTCATTGGAAGCTTCATGTGTTTAAAGATATCTGAAGATGCATATGGCACCTACATAAACCGTGAAGTTACAACAGAAGTACAGTATTTAGAAATTGCTTAGTCCTTAGGGTTTTTGCAAAATTGTTAGTGAATTTTATTAGTCTTTGTATTATGTTAATCTCTACCAAAAGCTTGTTTCTTTCCAAACCATCGCCACCTAAAATTACACATTTTATTTGCCTCTTGTGATATGAAAAAAGTACTGATTGCTTATTTTAAGCACATAAATTCAGGTCCCACACACTAATTTTAAGGAATAAGCAGGCCATTTTATTGACTTAAAACTTCTAAAAGATCTATTTATCTATATGTAAACTGAAAGCATATTAAACCTCTGAACCGGCTGACAAAGCAACCTTAATGAATTCAAACACATTCATAAGAACAGAACAATATACTATAAAAGGCAACATTTCTGTGCCTGTTTTAGGAACATAAGAACTGCCATATTGAATTACATCAGTGGGCCATCTAGTCTGGTATTCTGTCTGCATCAATGGCCAGTACCAGCTGCTTCAGAAGCAGCACCAGGCAATTATGGGATAACCCGTCCCCAAGGAAAACTTTCTGCCTAGCCCCTGCAATAGTTAGAGGTTGGCTTATGCTCCAAAGTTTCTTCCTCCCAGGAAAGATGGTGACAGTATATTTAAATATGTGCATAGTGCTGGTCAGCCTCAGTAGAGGAGATGCTTCCACTTCCTTAATGAGGGGCAGCGTTCCCCACCGAGGATAGGTCTACGCTTGCAGTGGCAGGCAGGGTACAGAAGCTGCACACCCAGCAACATGGGCGATGAGGCACAGCTTTGGCAAGTAGGGTCAAGTACCCTACATGCCTGAACTCTAGAGTATATGCCCTATGTGGCTCTCTACAAGTCCAAGCAGTGCCGCTGCCACAGTGAAACTCCAGGAGCTGCCAGAGCCTTTCCTCACTGCCTCCCCCTTGCTAGAACTCTTCATTGCCATGTGTATCTACACACTGCAGCGAGTGTGGATACAGGCTGTTTTTCACTGTGATGGGTAGACAAGGTCTAAGTTTGAGAGGAGTGGGGGATGGGTGGGGCAGATACTACCCACTTAGTTCTCCCCAGTGAAGCCAGACATGGCCATTTAGGCCCAGATCCTGCAGTTGGCTCTGAGCAGGATCTGAGAACGTGTGCAAGGTTAGGATATGTGGACAGGATCTAGAGGGCAGGGCAGCTCCACATCTGTCCTCGCCGTCACTAGCACTTGGCATTACCCTTTACCAAGGCTACCCCTGCCGGCTCAGGGGGCAGACTCACCTCTTCGCACAGCCCCAGTCAGCCCGGAGGGGGTGAAATCCCGCGTTGCAATCCAGCCGGGCAGCTGGCCCAGCTTCACGTCCAGCAGCCTGGTGTCTTTGAGAGGAACTGAGACACAGAGAAAGCCCAGTCACTGCCCGTTTGGCGGGGAACAGCTGCAGCACAGGGACACGGACACGGACAGCCCCCCCCGGGGGACAGGCACGGAGAGACGGACATTGGAGGGGAGGGTATCCGAGAGGTGAGCAAGGCCCTCCGGGGGGATGGGCAGTGAAGGGGGGGACAGGGATCCTGGGGGTGTGGGGATGGGCATAGGGGGCAGGGGAGGGCCAGGCAC